TGAAATTTTGATTTTTTTTTCTCAATTTTAACATAAATAATAGTAAATAAAAAATTGAATTCATATATTATATTATCATACTATTTTAAAATCCTTAAAATTATTTGTTTGTAGATTTTTTTCTTATATATTAGTTAACTTTTTTATATTTAATTTCAAAATAACAATAATATTTTTATGTAAAACAGGATGATTATATCTTATCATGATCTATGATTATTATTTTTGTCATTTTTATTAAAAATGTAATTAAATATGATAATTTAATATTTTATTATTAAAAAAAGTTGTTATTTAATTATTTAAAAAAAATGGCTTTCAATATGATATATATAAAATGTAAATGGGATGTTACATCTAATTTTATTTATTTTCATATACATTATTGGCATTTGATTATATTATGAATTTATTTATTTTAATGTCAATATTTACATTTTTTAATTATAAGTTGAAAATGAATAAAAACGTTTAAAAAATGCAAATGGTTGATCACTTTATAACTTTAGTTTAGCAATTGTTTTAAGCGAAGTAAAACAAGTTGATCACTTTTGGTATATACTTTTCAACTTTGAATCGGTATATACCTTTATGGTATTTGAGGATAGAGTTTGACGTTTTTAATAGAAGGAATCTAAAACGTGTTTGTTTCATTTCATGTAAGTATATGATAGGTGTTTTATGAGGGGCATGATGGGAATTCAAATCTGACTCACCACATGTTATAATGAATCCTTGTAGGGTATACCAATCATGAAAAACTCTTACAACTATTGAAGGAATTTCTGGACCCTCTCACCAACAGTATGAACTTTCACTACTGTCACCCATTCAACTCAAAAATAAGAAACATTATCTGATGATGGTTCAATAATAGGTCATTGAGTTCCATTCACACCCAATAGCCAAAAACATAATCGAAGTCCTGATTTTCTCAATAAAGTTGTTTGATTCTTGTCACTTTTTCAAATTTGTCTATTATAATAATTTGGCTTAAAAATAAAATTTATTTGTTTTTCCTTATGTTTAATGTAGTTTATATTTTAATAAATTATGTTCAATTTTATATTTTTTTAATGTAAATTAAAATTATATATACAATATTATATGTTAAATTAATATTAATCTTATATGTCAAGTCAGTATAAATGCAATTTATCAAATGTATTTTATTCAATTCAAATTTTGATTAATTTTGTTAAATTTAGTCTCAATTTTTGTTAATTTTATTTAATTTAATATTAATTTTTGTTAATTTTATCCAATTTAATTTTAATTTTAAATTTTAGAAAGAAAATTCTCTATTATTTTTAAAATTAAATGAAAAAAAACTCCGTTATTTTTAAAATTAAAAGAAAATTCTTCATTGATTTTAAAATTTTTTTATCATTTTTTAATTTAGAAGAAAAATTATTCATTATTTTTAAACCAATTCTAACTTTATTTTTTACATTAAAAAAACAAATACAATTATTATATTTCAATAATATAATTTGAGTTGGTATAAAAATAATGAAAAAAATATATTTAATAAAATTATAAATTTTAGTAAAAATTAAATGCAGTGTCAAGTCAATTTAGAAAAGAACAAGTTGAGATTAAATTAAAAAATTAATAAAATTTGAAACTAAATTGAATAAAATTAAAACTAAATTAAATATAAAAAACTAATACTTATACTAAAAACTCATTTAAAAAGTGACATTAATACTGATATCCGACAAAAATGTCTATTTAATACGTAGATATTTTTTAATGAAAAGAAAATAAAAAATAAAATAAAAATTTACAAATTAGCATGTAATATACTGTTTATCTTCCATTAATAATATTGAAAATAAAAACTAAATTAAACATTATTTATCAAAATAAACATTATATTGAACTTTTAAAAGAAAAAAAGTTTCACATTAAAGTAAATGAAGACAAAAGAGAATTATTTAAGCCTAATCATTTCGAAGAATAATTGTATCAGAATATAAATTTTTGTCGACAACTCTACTTTCTTCATTTGCATAATTTTGTCTCCGCGCACAGTTGTTGAGTGCTATGTCCGGTTGTAATGTTTGTGACACATTTAGATAGTTAAATAGAAATTTTACTCCTTTTAAAATACACAGATACTTTTTAAATTATATCTTTTAATAGGTTTTGAAACCACCGTTTTTAATTCATAATATAATAAGATAATTATACGTTCATTTTTATTTTACAGGATAGTGGAAAAATATAAAAATTCAATAAGAAAAATGAACCCATAAACTGAAGGAGTATTTAGAGTATCTTTTACTCATTGTCTCACTTGAGGATACTCGTATTTTGAAGGAAAATGTTTTTTAATAATTTTTTTAACAATATTTTTATAATAATTTATGATTGTTTCATTTTAAATATATATCCTAATAAAATAATAACACATAATCTAACACACAGTTGTAAAAAAGTTATTAAAAAAACTATTAAATATTATAATCCTATTTTAAAAGTTGACACACAAATTTGTTTTTCCCTCCCATATATATTGCCTTGACTTTTCTCTCCCAAAGTAGTTTGAATTTTTTGTGCTTCATTTTATAAAACCATAACCATAACATTTTTTAAATATTAAAATTGCATTTTTATTTTTAAATATTAGAAAAATAAGGACTTAAAATAATATATAAAAAAATTAACACCGAGCATGTGAGTACCTGCTGGTGAGAATTTGACATTAAGTTATTTTTTTACCTTAATTATTTTATTAAATTTAATTCTCTTCCTGTCATATTCTCTCTCTCTATATATAATGAAAATAGTTTATAAGGTCGTATGAGTTCTTTCAGCTAGTTTTCTACACATAATTAATTTTACGTTGTTTACCCACATTACAAGCAAATAAAAAGTAGTTGATAAGTGTATGGCAGCTCTAAACTAAAATATATGAGATAATCCAAATTAAAATAGTAACTAATTAATTTTAGTATTTTTTTCCACATATTATGAATATTAAATTTATTTTACTAGTTTTATTAATTATTACTTTTTCACAAAAAATTATTTAGATACGGTAATTGCCTATATTTTTTATTTAATGTTCGTAATAAATTATATGTATTATTTTTCATACTTAAATCTATATTTTTTTTTCCATTAGTTACTCTTTGTCAAATTTGTTGATACGACATTCGATCATTTTACGTACAAGTCGATTTCATGAATTGCTTATCACATCATTTATTCATTGATCATAATTTATTTTTTAATAAAAGAAGTGTAGAATCTTGTTAATGAATGATTTGATGAGGTTAAATAAAAACATTAAATTTTTTCATTTCTAAAAATGTGGAATATTTTTTAGTTCCTATACGATATTTAATTTAACTCTATTAGTATTTTAATTTTAAAATTAGTTGATATATATATATATATATAT